GTATGTTTTGCGCTACGATGTGAAGACGTACGAAGTGTTTAGTCTTGTTTTGCCGACTTCATGACCTCAAAACAACGACTTTTTGTCGAAAAACATCAATTATTTTTCAACTTCATTCTTGAAAAATGCATTTTTCTYGCAAGAAATATGCTTTTAATAGATACCTTAAGTAGTTTTTTGCTAGTCATTCGCCAGGAAGTAGAAAAATATGGTATGTTCTGAGGTCATGTAGCCGGCGAAACAAGACTAAACACTTCGTAGGTCTTCACATCGTATCGCTCAAAAGACCATATTTTTTTTCTACTTGGCGAGTTAATATTAAAACTTTACTTTAGATACCTACTAAGAATATATTTCTTGCAAGAAAAGGGGATTTTTATTGTCATTTAGTGCGCTATAAATTTACCTTTTATCACCAAAAAACCCACCCGAATCGCCATCTTTTTTATAGTAATGATGAAAAGGTAAATTATACACGGTGAAAAGACGAAAAAAAACTTACTTACTAAAAAAACTTTTTTTCATCTTTTCACGGTGTATAATTAGTCCTTTTATCATTACTGTTTCATTAGAAAAACCGACGCATCTCACACTAGTTTTTAGCTAGTTAGTTCATCTTTTTTTTTTACATTCTCGCGTAGCTAAAATCCTGTAAAATGCAAACCGCAATGGCCGATTTGACCACGTGACCTCTTAGTGCAAGTCGCCTATTGGGATACAACGCGCATTATGATTGGTGGAAAACCATGTTTGATGAGAGTATCAAAATACGCTATCGTCATTTTAGCGTGCGCGAGTATTGCAACTGTCATATTTTAATCTATCGCGCACGCTCATTGGTCAGTCTGAATAAGACGGCACATAAAGAGAATTTAGTTAGACTTTTTTTTTCGATCGATCTTTTCGCGCATTTGTTATTTCATAATTGTTAAATCTAATTTGTGCTTGTGAATCAAAACGTTTTCCGTGATAGTCTGGTCAAAACACTTGTGATGTTGGGAGAATACTCGAGAAGCTGGAAACCACTCCGCTACAATAGTCATTTTCAATCTTATAACACTAGAACCAAATAGGTTGTATCGTCGTGTAC